CTCCACCCCCGCCCCCCCACTGCAGGAGAGGCAGGCAGGCTGAAGGCAGAAGTGTGGAACGGCCTGATCCTTTTATTTTTTCACCAAGGAGCCTACCCACATCTCCCACAGCCAGGTCCAAGCTGCCGGTGGGCTGAGCAGCCTCTAGCTGTGGAGGGCCCCAGTCCTTCCTTCCATGGTGGCGATAGCCCCTGGGGCCTCCTGGGCAGACTGCTAATGGGCAGGTGCTGCCCAAGCTCAAGCTCAGGGAACAGTTGGACATGGTTAGATGCTGCCTGTGACCTACAGCAGCACCTTCCCACTAACTGCCCTACAGGTGGCCCTGGGGAGCACCACCACTATAGGGGGAAATTCCGGGGCCTCCCACAGCTCAGGACCTACCAGCAGCTTGCCCCCCAGTCACAGGATGGGTGGGCAGGCCTTGTGGGGAAAAAAAAAAGATCAGGCCCCTCGCTGCTTTTTTTTTTTTCTCTCACCAAAGCCTGCCCATGTGAACTGCCGCTGGGCTGCACAGCCCCTGAGCTGTAGGGGTCCTTGGTTCTTCCCTTCACAGTGGCAGTGCCCCCCAGGGTCACCTGGGCAGGGTGCTAGCTGTGCAGGTGCTGCCCCAGCTCACAGACAGCACCCGCTGGATCCAACTCTTCTCTGAGCCCACGTGCTAGAAGTCTACCAGGTGCTGCTCCCCAAGTGGCCTTGGGGAGGAGTTGGATTCAGCAGGTGCTGCCTGTGAGTTGGGGCAGCACCCACATAGATAGTAGGGCTGTGTGAAATTTCGACGAGCATTTTGTTTTGAAGCTGGTTTGATGCGTTTCGAGCTTGAAACAGCAAAATTGAAACAAAACAAAAGGCTTTGAAACAGCTTTGAAATTAAATAAGGGTAGTCGAAATGTTTCAAAAGTTTCTAAATGTTTCGAGTTTCAAAGTAACCCAGTGGCAGGGGAGAGCCAGGGCTGTGCTCCAAGCAGCTCTGCCAGCCCCACAGAGCTCAGCCCAGCAGTGAGAGGCAGTGAGAGAGCCAATGGTGGAGCTACTCAGAGTGCAGCCTTGGCGAGTGGTTCTCCCCTGCCTCCCACCACTAGGCTCAGCTCCATGGGGATGGCGGAGCTACTTGGAGCACAGCCCTGGTTCTGAGCGCAGCCCTGGTGAGCATAGCTCAGTGGCTGGAGGCTCCACAGCCCCATGGAGCTGAGCCTGGCAGTGGGAAGCAGGGGAGAGCCACTGGTCAGGGCTGTGCTCAGAGCCAGGGCTGAACTCCAAGCGGCTCTGCCACTGGCTCTCCCGCTGCCTCTGGGCTCAGCTCTGTGGGGCTGGTGGAGCCACTCGGAGAGTAGCTCTGTCTCTTCTCTGCCTTCTGCCACTGGCCTGCAGTCCGAGCAGCTCTGCCAGCCCCACAGAGCTGAGCTTGGTGGTGGGAGGTTGGGGAGAGCCACTGGCCAGGGCTGCGCTTGGAGCTCTCCTGCTAGCTCCCACCGCCAGGCTGAGCTCCGTGAGGCTGGTGGAGCCATTCAGAGCACAGCCTTGATGGATGCAGCCAGGCAGCTGGAAGTTCCACAGCTCCACAGATCTGAGCCTGGCGGTGGGCGGTGGGGGAGAGCCACTGGCCAGGGCTGCACTCGGAGCCAGGGCTGTGCTCTGAGTAGCTCTGACACTGGCTGTCCGCCACCTCCCACCACCAGGCTCAGCCCTATGGAGCTGTGGAGCCTCCAGCTGCTGGGCTGTGCTCATGAGGGCTGTGGTCCGAGTGGCTCCGTCAGCCCCATGGAGCTCAGCCTGGAGGCGGTAGGTAGCAGGAGAGCCAGTGGTGGACCTACTAGGAGTGCAGCCCTGGCCAGTGGCTCTCCCCTGCCTCCCACCATCAGGCTCATCTCCGTGGGGCTGGCAGAGCTTCTCAGAGTGTAGGCCAGTGGCAGGAGGTGAGGGAGAGCCAGGGCTGCACTGCGACTGGCTCCACCAGCCCCATAGAGCTCAGCCCAGCAGCAGGAGGCTGGGGAGAGCCAGGGCTGCACTCTGAGCGGCTCTGCCATCCCCATGGAGCTCAGCTCAGCAGTGGGGGGCAGCAGGAGAGCCAGTGGCAGAGCCGCTTAGAGCACAGCCCAAGCCAGTGGCTCTCCCCCACCTCCTGCCACCAGGCTCAGCTCTGCAGACTGCGCAGCCTCCCACCACTGGGCTGTGCTCACCAGGACTGCACTTGGAGTGGCTTTGCCACTGGCTCTCCCGCCACTGAGCTAAGCTCCATGGAGCTGGCAGAGCCACTTGAAGTGCAACCTGGTGGCAGAAGTTGGGGAGAAGCAGAACTGTGATCCGAGCAGCTCCGCCAGCCTCACAGAGCTCAATCTGCCCTCCCAGGGCTGCTGGATTCCTCCCAGGGGTGCAGGCCCCCAGATCTGTGCGTGGGGTCACAGGAGGCTGTCACTGCTGCCTGGGGCCAGCGGCAGCACCAGTCTTCCTGGTGCTGGGTGCGGGCTGTGCAGAGGAGTCTGGCAGAGCCCCACAGCCTTCCTGGGGGTGTGATCCCCCAGATCTCTGCACAGGATGACAGGAGGTAGGCTGCCACTGCCAGCAAGTGACAATAATTTTGCTTTCAGCACTTTGAGGTGCAGTTTCCCAGAAACCCCTACACCTATTACTTTGAAACGTGGCAGGCTTCATGCCCTTAGAAGGGGCTACCATCCCTGCAATTTTCGTCTGAATCAGGCAAGAAATAACAAAGTTATAGGCATTTACATGATTCCCCATTGTAGCCTATGGGCGAAACATCAAAATGCCTTGAAACAGTTTCAACCAAATGAAACGGAACAGTGCTTTAACATGAAACAAAATGACAAAATGAAACACTGTCCTTTTGAAATGACAAAACAGAAGTCAAACTGAAATGGTGCTGTTTTGCCCAGCCCTAATAGATAGCACCCTGCCTGGGCAGCCCCGGGAAGTCCTGCTGGTATGTAGGGAAAGACCAGGGCCCCTGACAGCTCATGGTCTTTGTGGCCTGGTGGCAGATCTCCCCCCAACTTCAGGAGGAGCAGGTAGGCTCTACAGGGGAAGGGGAAAAAAAAAGAATTGGGCCATTCACAGTCACAGTGATGGAAACCCCTAAATTGAAATGGTGGGTTTTTAATTGTCACAATTAAAAAACCACTATTTCAATTTAGAGGACTAAACCCCCATCATGTGTACAAGTGGCCTTGGTGATCAGCAACAGGGAAAGTAATATTTCTAGAGAAGCAATCTCTGTGAGCAATGTAAAAGGAAGCTGATTGTAGATTAATTATTTGCTTTGCTTCTCAATTAGCTGTAATTCAAATAAAAAAGAGCTAAATTCCAAGTACAGTTTTTATCATAAATCTAGACTCTAGGATGCAAGGGATAGTTCGTGCATAAACTTACATTTGGTGCCATTACTTTATAGGATTTCCTCATACATTATCATGTTGCCTCTGTAATACATCCTTGGTTCCAATGACTTTTAACCTTCGCATCCCTGGAGATGGCCCCAGCGATCCAAGTGTTACCAGTTTTGTTCAGATTTCAGACATCACAAGACCATCCTGGAGGAAGGGACCCCAAGGAAATGTCAAGCCAAAGGAATTTACCATATTGCCTAGCAGTGGGACCATCCGTCCTCAAGGATTTCTGGACATCCAGGTACAACCTACATCAAACCAGTGTTCAGCAGGTGGAGGTACAGCTTTATAAAATTCAAAACAGGGCTTTTTCACTATTAGGTTTTAGCATAATGTGAGCAAAACAACAGTTTTCATTAACCACAGTTATAAAAAGAAGCTTGACTGTTTCCAGTTTGGTTTCCAAAGCTGCAAGGTATCCATGAATTTTAACCACAAAAACTCTTAATGAGTGTTCAGATATAGGTCTACAGAACTTCTGAAAGCAGCTGGTCTTTGATTTAAAGTAGGAGGAAGAAGAATTAGGACAAAAAGTAGTAGCTGAAAAAAAGGAATTCTTGTGTTTAAAAAAAATGTATTTTTTTTTTCTCAGTTTAATTTTCACCTCAGCATAGTGTCTTAATCAAAGCAGTGATTTCTAACAGGAACAATGAAAGCTAATGCACTCAGGGACTATCCTGACAGCTCTTAAGCCAAATTTTTCTGTCAATAACTCAATATAAATTTGGAGTAATTATATTAACGTGAATTTTCTTTGTTTTAATGTGGCATAGTTGAGAGCAAAATTTAGTCTCCTGATTTTAAAGACAATGAATTTAATATATTTCCTGTTTCTGTGGAACCACCATAGTGTATTCATTTGCAACTGTCCATCGGTGAAGGGCAGTCCTTGAAGTCCCATGGAAGCCTGAAAAAAGCTCAGTGCTCTTGTTTTATTCATTTTTGCAACTGATCAGTTATAAAATAACATGGAAAATAAAGACTTTATCTCAGTCTCATGGCAATGAGTAGTGTTAGGGTATAACTGCCAAATGCCAAAATGTGGTACAAGTCCCATTCATATCCTTCTTGACTTGTGAAATTAATTCATTGGATAGTGAAATGAAACTCATGAGCCAGATTTATCCATGGTGTCAGCACACAGACTAATTGTGGAATGACAGCAGGAATGGATTTTTACCCTAACTGTAACATTAACTGGAAAGTCAGGATCTTTTTTTAGAAGGATGTTTCAGCACAAATCTGATACCAGTGTGATTAGGGAGAATCTTGGGTCTATTTATGGGTTAGCTCAAACTTTGGAGGAGATAAACATGCAGGTTCACTTTGTCCCCAAGCTTGGCTTTGCAAACAGCTATAGCATTTTCTCAGAGAGCACTTGGGACTGATGAGACTATGAACCAGATGACCATGCCCTGTCAAGACAGAACACATACCAGTGTGGTGAGCCATTGTTGCAGCCTGGTAAGCAGTAGAACTCTAGCCTGGAACCACTGCTGTATAAAAACCGTGGAGCCTACCTGTAAACATCTTCACCACCTGCCAAATACCAGCCAGGGTCTTGTGTACAGCATTTCAGCTCCATCATTCTACTGCCTAAAGCAAAAAAACCCCACAAAAAGTAACAAATGGGTGTGTTTGCTTAGGAACGTTCTTTTCTTCACTTAGTATTTCACACTGAATCTGCTCTTCAGGGAATTTTAATTCATTCCCAAAGAGGTGAAGCAGACACATGCACTGTTTTTTTCACTGAACAGCAAATTTAAAAAATGAATAAACCCCCCCCCCTTAGCAATACAGATCATCTTTGATGTGCTTGCAGTGTGGAAGGTACTTAGAAGCAGTATGCTTGACCAACCAACAATGACCAGGGTTGACTCCTTGTTCTGCTTCATGTTTAAATAACAGCAAACTTAGATCAGCCCTGCAATACTTGGTATCAAACTGCAGAACTTGCAGAAAAAACAGTAATATACTTGCAGTAATATAACTTTTCAAGTCGGTGTAAATGACTATTGTCATTTGAAATGAACATCCTGAGGGAGGGAAAAATACTGTAAATAATTTGGGTTGTTAAACCCTTAATTTCTGGAGTTTTCTATTACATGGATGTTTTTATTGAAAAATCCCTCAACTCCCAATTCTGCTCCTACATTTCCCAAATTTTTACAACTTTTGTTGCAAAATACTTCATCAATGGACTCCCAGGAAATGCTTCCTAGGTAACTGATAGTCCAAAGAGTCACTATTGGGAATCACTGATAATGTAAACTAGTGCAGCCTTACTCAGCAAATTGTTACCTAGTGGTTGATCTCCAGAAATCCCAAACAGGGCACTCTAGAGTTCACTGAATTATCACACTGACAGAAAGAGGGGGAGCACTTTAGAAAATAAAATATTTGCTCCTCTTTTCCTTTGGTAGGTGACCTTATGTTCCAACACTGTGAAGAAATATGAAACAGCGCTGGTGGTAGACATAGATGGCATTGGAGAGGAAGTGCTAGCCCTCCTAATTACAGCAAGGTATTGGTACTTTACTTGCAGCTGTCCCCACTTTGTCCCTATTTTACCTACAATGTGCTGCCATATACACAATTTGCTGGATTTAGCCTTTCATCCCTTAATAATAAGCATAAATTAATGAGATTATTCTGCATAGTTGAGCACTAAAGCTAAATCTGATAGGGGAATGACAAAATATTGAAAACAACACACACAAAAAAGCACTTGTCCTATAGATAAGGGAAGGACCATGAACATTTTTCAGAATGAGAAAAGTAATGCTATTCATTGTTGTCTTGACTTTTAGTACATGCAGCATTACAGATTTCAGGTGCAAGCAACCCAACAGCCATCCCATTTCTTCACAAGTATTATACTTGAACGGGATGGCAACAAAAGTGGTACATTTGTTCCCTGCAGTGGAAAATCTGTTTGAGACATGAATGGCAACCAAATGAGAGATGAAGCTAACTTGTCGATTAGCATGCAAAACATGAGAGAAGAGATTTAGGCCCAAATTGTGAATTTTTATTAAGAAAGAACAAATTAAAGATATTACAGAAGGAAATTATTGTTCATTTTAAAGAAAGAACTCAAGTTCGACAGCATTCCTGTAGCCCTCTTGGTCTTCTGGCATCGTACATTTAAGTGAGAGTTCGTTCATTCCAAGGCAGATTCTGTAGGGCAAATTCAGCCTTGTTGTAACTCAGTCAGCTTCCATGAAGTTACAGCAGTGATGTATTTGGCCATCTGGTTTAATCATTTATACACCCAAAAATATGTGATTTACAGACTTCATGCTGCCATAAGTGCTGTCAATGACAGTGGAGTTTAGCCTATACTGAGTGCTTTAGCAAGTCCCAGCTGGAGTTAGTTTTGTAAGATAATTTCTGAGATTGTCACATAGGAACAGTAATGGACATAATGTTCAATACCCTGGGGGTCTCTGAGCCCCAATTTGTTAATTAATGCATTTTCTTGTCTGTCAGTAAATCAGTCTTAAATCCCTATTCATGTTTTGGTGTAATGATCCAGAAGATAATGGGTAGGCATTGTAGGGCCACAGGCAGAATGAGAAGACAAAAAAAAGCTCAGAAAAAAACAAAGACCACCCTTTTCAAGCAAGGTTTTATGGCAGGAACTCCAGGTTAATTCAGATGGATGCCAGCAAAAAGCCTCAACTGTACAGGCAAGCCAGGGTAGTTCCTGTGCTTTTGGTCCTGACTGCTGGGGTATCTCTGTAGTGTCTCCACAGCAATCATGAGACACCTCTGAGAAACAAGCTTCCTCTGCATACACACGATGCTAAAAAAATGTCACATGGTTGCTATTAGAGCCGGCCTAGGCATGCCCAGAATCACTGTCTGGGGCATGCCTGAGACTAAGATCCTGGCAGAGCATCTTTGGGCACATGCCATAAGTGGTTACACAACTTCTTTTGGCAAGCACCACATGCAGAATAAGAGTGAATAGGTAGGGCTTGTTTCTCAGCAACAGTCTCAGGATCCCTGTAGGGCAGAATGGCTCAGCAAAACTTGTCTGTCTCTCCTCACTGAGTGTGAACACCTTCTTTTAAGATCTTGATCCGATAGGCTTGGCTGTACTTAATTAACTAATAATGCTTCATTAAACTTGAAGTTGAAATCTGGCTGGGCACTAACCAAGTTCCAAGGCCATTGCTTGGCTTAGGGGAAACCTTTCTTAAAAGCACTCTTGGCGTAGTGTACAGCAGTTGATTGTGTTCCCTTCCATGAAGCACCAACTGCCTATCACAGTATGCTAGAAATGTGGAGCTCTGCTAAAGAGAAGAAAAGGCTAGTTCAGGTGAAAGAAGTAAAGTGCCAAAATGGAGCATAAAGATAAAACATTTACAAAAGACATGTAGGCCTTTCAGGTCCACAGGAGCTAATGGGATCTGACTGTAGAAATGACTTGGTGATCAGAAGTCTTAGCTTCACGAAACTCTAGGGAGCTGGTTGGGGAAAAAAGATTTAATGAGATCCCAGGAGATTTGTTGAAAGTGGACAGCAGAGGCTCAACAGGCTGAATTACTGCCTGGCTTCATTTGGCTCCCTTCCTTGATTTTTGAATTTGGCATGCTAGCTTTTGTTAATCTGCTAGCATCTTAGAAGTAGTGAGGATAGCAAATGACTTTGAACAAGGAATTTGAAGAGGGCTGAGAGACAGACTAAGAGATGAGGGGGTTGGTAATGGCACTCACTGTCTCACTCAGCAAAGGCTTCTTGTCACTGGCTGGTGCACTGTTGTAAAGTGAAATAAATAGACGAAAACATGAATGAGCAATATGCAAACCTATTTAAGTAAAAAATCAAGATAACTATAGAAACTGATAATGGGTGATCATTTACAGTGGTAAGATCATGTGGCAGTTCTTTTCAACCATGACTATGACAGATAATGCATTTATAAAAAAGGTCACTAGTCTGCAAGAGAACAGCAATTTACTATTATACAGATACTGTGTGAAACCTTGCACCCCTCAAGTCCTACCTAATGTCATTATGTTTGTTTCTTTTGGGAAGGATTTCACGTGGCTGGAGCCCCAGCTGGTACTGTCAGGGCACTGTTATACAAGGGCTCAGAATACATCATTGAAGCATTGCTGTGAAGGAGCTGGTGCTGCCAGATTCCTCGGAGGCCTTATGTGAAGGGACCTTCTGTAAGGAAGCTCAGCATGCCAGCAAGGCCATGGGCTGAAAAATTATACCCTGCCTAAATGCTTGCTAGCACTGATGGAGCACTGTTGTGTAGAGACCCATAGCTGATTCCCCATATGTCCTTTAGTAGAGGGTGTTGATTAAAAAGTGAATAAAAAGAATTTTAAGATGATTAATGGCCTTATGGGTGTAAAGCTTCCATGTGACAATGACAAATGTGTTATGCTTCGTTTGCCATATTCTGGGAATAAACAAACTCTCTATTCTCTGGGTATATATAATGCTTTTTTTTTTTGGCTAGATGTGTTGTTCCGCCACTCCATGTGGTTAACCCTGTTGTGAAATTTGGGCGGTGTTTTCTGAAGTACCCTTACCAGCAAATGGTGACACTCATAAATGACAATGACCTTCCAGCATGCTATGGAGTTCTCCCTCAGGTTTGTCATCTCATCCTCCCCTTATCTCTGGCCATTTTCATGAGACTGTTAGAACATGGGAGGAGGATTTCCAGATTAGACAATGACAGGCAGCTCTGAGTACCTTGTGTTTCCTGCCTCAAACATCCTCTGTCTTTGGGCTTACATGGTCACTTGAAAGGGCATCTCACAGCGTGGAAATCAGGAGTCATTAATTTAAAGAGTAATGCTATGTCTCCAACAGGGGTGTCTTTCTGTCAGAGGAGAGAAGTCATAGGGGAATAGGGATGAAAGCTGGTAATTGAGCCCATAACTGGTGGTGTGTGCCTTGGCATGATCTAATAATTCATACTATAGTCTATTTAGTTTTGTTTAGAACAGTTTTTAACTATCTGTACAATACCATGCCATTGAATGTAGCCCATACCATTTGCTTCTTACTCGCTGATGCTCGTAATACCTATTTAGGTCCTGTCCAAGAGGAGCCTGCCTCCGTAACTGGAAGCAGCGTAGATGCAACTGTGTGGTGTTTTGGGTGGGCTAATTAGCAATTCTTAGCAAAAAACCCAGTAACTTTACCATGCAGACACAGCCTTAGAGGATCATAAACAAAAATGTACTTCCATACTCTTTTTTCTGTTTCCACACATTGATGCTGTCCTGTATCTTCTGAGGCACCAGCCAATACAACTATCTGTCTTCTCTTCCTTTTGACTGAGCAAATCTTCTCTAAAGAAACCTGCATATGCTTGAAATGGGTCTTGGGGCTCATCTACATGTTCATTAATGCACTGTAATTACAGCACATTAAGTTTAGTACCTGTAATGCCAGGTACTAATTTTATGTGCCATAATCAGCGCTACTGCACATTAGCACAGATTAACTTTTTTTGGTGATGCTACTACACATTAGCCTAAATCTACTGTGCATTAGCATGGACTTTGCTCGCTGAAAGAGTATCCAGAAATTGAAAGTTTCCACACAAGTAATTATGAAGACAAATTTTGGTTATGTCTTTGTGCAGGAATATGAGGAGAAGCCCACTGTTTTGTATTCCAGCCCTGTGCCTTGTGGCATTATTCAGCCTCACAGCTCGGTAGAAATCCCTTTAGCACTAGAATCCCAGGTGACTGGAGAGCAGGACACTGCTGCATACATAGCTGTATTTGGGAGCAAAGAATCCCCACTGGTAAGACCATAATGAAATATGTCTTTTGTTCGTTTGAATTAATGTTCCCTTGGGAGTGTGAAGGCCTCTACTGGGAGCAGCCATTGTTGTTCTTATGGTGCATGAAATACATTTGTATTGAAACATTTAAGTTCTTTGCAATTCCAGGCATTTTCCAGCAACATGAAAAACTAGGGTAACAGCAACTTGCATAATTAGTATGCAAATACCATTGCAATATCACTTTAGGTAATTTTAGGTTACTTGCACTGTCCCCATCAATAATGAGGATAGACTGGAAAAACCAAGACTACTTGGATTGCAGAAAAGACAAATAAGGGACAAATCCTGGAAGTGCCAAAGACTGTTCACTTATGTTGAAGTCAAAAGGAGTGGAGGAAGCTCGAGTCCTTGAAAGATCATTTCCTATAAAGGAGTACATGGTGCAGAGATGATAAATTGGGTCTTTTGGTATTCCCTTTTCTATAGTCCAAAAGGGGATTCAGTGGGATTCATCAACAGGAAGGGACTTAATCATTACTTCTACAGGTTCTAGTCTGGGTGGGTGCTCCAAGGGGAGGCGGAAAAGTCTCTCCTGCAGTTCAGTATTCATTGGATAAATGAACAAAGGCAAGATGCAATGGCTCCATTTCAAGAAGAGATATGGCTATTAGAGGGCTGTGCGAAACAGCACCGTTCCATTTTGACTTGCGTTTTGACGGAACCACGTTTTGTTTCGAATTTCATTTTGATTTGAAACTGCCATTCTGTTTAGTTTCGTCGAAACAGTTTTGCTGTTTCAACGCTGTTTTGACATTTTGCCTATAGCATTATGGGCTATAATGGGGAAGCTTGAAACAGCCTATAACTTTGT